CTGTGGATGAATAAAACGTTTGACTGATATTGTTTCAGATGAGCAGCAGATAAAATCCAGGTTTTGGTTTTTTACTCACTTCACCTCCTGCCTTTTGCTCCTTCAGCCCAAATATCAGCAGGAGGAGCAGCAGAGCTGAAAGCATCACTGCAAACACCAGCAGCTTTATTTACTCTTTAGAAAACATTTTCAGCTCAGACACATAGCACTGACAGTTTCAAAATATTACAATATATTTACTTTTTAATTAACTATTTGTTTGATAGTGTTATTTTTCTTCAGTTTTTAATCCTTTATTTTCATTTTATTCACAGTCAGATCTCATATAATCCAAACTAAATCGTCAGTAAGTCGGTTCTTACCTTGTTCTGATGAGGCATCAAAGCAGCAAACACTTTTTCTTCATGACCTCTAAGCTTTTATAGCTTTGATTGGAAGACGCGTCTCTCACTCACTGACAGGTTGAAGATAAGGAGCAACATCTGAAGAAGATGGGACCTTTGATTCTCACTGAGACTCAGATAAAGTTATCAGAACTACAAGACGACATGCTGAGTCGTGTTTCCTATCATTTAGCTCTTGTCAGTTCAACTCCTCTTTGTTTGAGAAGAAAAAGTCTTAGTATTATTGCTGACCTATTGACTTTCAAAAATATTGCTGACCTATTGACTTTCAAAAATATCTTTAAAGCAAAAGCAGCACAATGTAAATTTTTTGCTGCACAAACCAGCACAAAAATTATCTAATTGATTAACAGCAATTTTGTTAGATTCGAAGAAGGTGGGAGGGTTGGTTGAACTTTTATACCTTCTGAAAACATTTATCAATATCTTTAAAATTATAGCGGCACAAAGGAAAATCTTTGCTGCACAAAAGCAGCACAAATGTTAGACAGCAGTCTAATGGGGCCATTTTCACCGGTGTCCTTAAGTTTGCAGGACAGTCGCTCTCTGGGGCTGGACTTTCAAATGCTCTCTCTAAAATTGTCCGTAGGTCTTAGTGTGATCATGGCTGTCTTGGTGTTGCTCCTTGTTGGACTGGCTAGATGGACTGAGACGGATTCCAGCTGCCCAAGAGTCTGCATGGACAAGTAGACGACGGTTGGAGTCGCTTATATGAGAGGAGAGTAGCTCACAACTTTACGGTTAGATCAGCTGATGCTCATCACTCCATCAGGTCGAGTTCTGAGCTCACTCTCTTATAGCTGCGCTGCAATGGCACACAAGAACAACAGCCGAATGTTACTACTGGAGAAAACCACAAAGATGACAACAGGAAGTAGTAGAAGAATGATGGTTTGTTTTGTTTTTGTTGGACAAAGTGCAGCTGGCTCCACCAGAGCTCTCACATGTTCAACATCCAACATGTTGAATCCATAGCTCTTCTATAAAACGGTTGACTATAATTTCCCCAAAATGCTGCATACGGAGCCGCTCCCAAGTAGGTGGGGCTTGTTGCTGATGGCTGTTGAGCTCCATGGCTGAATTATGAATATTTCTCATGTAACTCTTTACATCTGTGCTGCCATGACTGACTCATTCATGTGTAATTTTAATTTCATTGTAAGGGAAAAACATCAATCGCAAAATTAAGCTTTTTCAAGATTAGCATAATGTAGACAAAGATCTGTGCACATTTGTAATGGGAATGCAGCTGCTGATTACTTCATCTTTATGTGTAAATCTGATTGACCCACTGTGCTGATTAACACAGTGTGTGTGGTATTGGTCTCACTTTCTGCACAGGTTCTTGTGGTATCTTCTCCTGATCTAATGTGCATCTGCATGTATTCACCCCTTTTGCTATGAAGGCTCTTAAAAATACTGGTGACCTTCAGAAGTCACAAGCTGGGTGAAATGAAGTCCACCTGTGTGCGGTTATGCACTCCTCTACTCCCACTAACTAAAGGAGATCTCAAAACAAGTCAGAGACTAAGTTGTTCAGAAGTATAAATCAGGGTTGGGTTATAAAAAGAAGGATTTTGTTGATGTGGTGGAAGTTTTGACGTCGGTCGCTCTGGTGAACTGTGTGAAACCCAGTGGATCAGCACCAGATGAAGTCCTGTGTGTCAGCAGGAGATTATCTGGATGACCAGTTTTATTGTGACCCAGTTGTCACCATGTTCATTCTGGAACTGGTTGCCATGTTTGGAGTCGTTTTCCTGATAAGCATATCTTCCAGTGTGTTCTGATCTCGGTGCAGTAGGACATATACTTGGACAGATTTCGCTCCCGGTGCAAATGAGTGTGTAAAAGAAAGTGTGTGTGAGTGTGTAATCTTTGTTTTCCAAAACTGCATACTGTGGGCAGTGAGAAACTGTGTGTGTGAAAACTCTCCTTTGCTGTAAAGGATAAATTCACAAAGTTTGTCTCTTCACCAGTTTGTTTCATATTAAATTCTCCAGAGGATTTCCTTAACTTTAACCAAACGGCCTGTTCATTAATCTGCACTGAGAAACAGGACTGGTTTCCAGGAGAGACTGAGCCTGGAAGCCATATTCACAACAATTAAGTTTTGTTTTTCACGTTTGAGAAAAGCTGTTTCTTTTGTTTTTTTTTCCAGAGCTGTTGGCATGGTTACGGTACGGCTGCTGTGAAGCTGCTTCCTGTTGATCTATACTTCATTTTAACTCTTCCAAATGCTCCAAATGTCTTATTTCTCCTGAGACTTTATATTTAAAGCAGAATTTTACATCCAGGGAAGAACTGAAACATGACAGTAACAGTAACCCTGCATCAGCTGATGTGTTCTGTTCAAAACCAGATTAACATGAAGCTTGCAAACAGAACCTTGCTTGAAGGAAACTAAATGGTTTCCATAAAAAAAGAACTTAAAGATATTAACCGATGTGTTTGTTTGCTGCTTTAGAAAAATGTTGCATGTCAAGTAAAGGCATTCTGGACATGAGTTCCTGTAAAAACAAAATGTTTCCTTGTTACTGGAATAAAACATGAAACAGTGACGACTGGCCTCCATGGGGCTCGTCCTCAGATTTAAGGTTATTGTCTATAAACAGTTTAGTTTGGGAGAAAATACTTATGCAAACTTCAAATAAATAAAAACAAGAGACAAGAATGTACTCTAGTAAAAGTACTAAGATTTTACTTGAGTAATAGTAAGTTCTCTTACTTCTGAAATACGGAAAGTATTGAAAGTAAAAGTACTTGCTGCATGTTAATGCGATGGTCTGCAATATCATTGCTTACTAAACTTTAATACTTCAGCAGCGTTGAGCCATTTTAGTGAACAATGCTGCAGGTTTTTATTGATGGAGTTTAAAGCTGAACTGGTGAATCTGCGCGTCAGATTAAACGACCTTCAGGTAAATAAGGAAGAGCGATGATTACATCTTTGAAAGTTATTATTTAACACAAATGAAAACTGTTTCAATTTTCTGAAACTATTTTCAAAACTTGGACACAAGTCACTTTTTGAACTGGTTAACTCAAATAAGTCAGTAATAACTTTCAAACTAACAAATAAAAACATGAATGTAGTGTGCAGCGCAGCACATTATTTAAATGTAGCGGAGTAGAAAATACACCATGTAAAATCTAATGGATTCAAATCTTTAAATGTAGTTTTAATTTTCCTTTGATACATTTTAAGCTGTGAAATGATTAAGTTCTTCAAGAACTTTAAGCCATCAGTAGATGTTTGTTTGCTGCTTTATAAAATATGTCGCATGTCAAGAAATGCTTCTTGACAGGAGTTCCTGTAACAGCAACATGCTTCCTCGTTACAGGAATAAAACATGAAATGTCATCCTGGGTTCTGCATTCCAGCATCAACTGGCTATTTAAGGTCTGTTCTCCAAACTGGGATCGTCTGTCAGGATTTAACGCAGCAAAGGTAACATCTGACAGCAGCTTCATTTTGTAATGATATTTTTCTTCTTCTGTTGAACTGAAGCTGTTTAGCAGCCAGACAGTCTCTGATGTTCAGGATGGATTCGTGTTTTTATTTAGCTTTAATGTCTCTCCTCAGATGGCGTCTGGCTTTCAGTTGGTGTTCCTCCTCGGCTCCATCATCGGCCTCTTGACTGTTAGAGCTGTGAGTAAAATCAGCTGTGATTATTTCAGTTTTAACACTTTAAGATGTGGAGAAAATGACAGAAGGAGGAGAAACTTTGGACGAGAATGAGACATGAGATCCAACGGGTTTCTGGTTCCAACTTTGTGTTTCTGTTTCACAGGCGCCTGCTCAAAGTGACGGCCAGGAGAAGGCAGGTTGGTGCTTCTCCTTCCTCCCAGAACCTGAACTTTAGTTTTTATGTTCACTTCATATCTGATCATTTTCCTAAAGATAATTTGAAGAATCCAGATCACAGAGGTTCATTTATTATATATTTATAGCAGTTTATGAAAATTGAAAATTATTGGTAGCAACCAGAAAAGGGGAAAATATTACTTTCCATTGTAAAATTTGTTTTAATTCATAACTGAACTTAATCTGTCCAGTTTATTTGTGTGGCAGATTTCAACAACAAGCCAAATTAAAGTCTTTGACGTCATAAAACACAAAAATACATTCATAGAACAGTTCTTTAGTTTAAAAAACACCACAAAAAAAAAAACAACAACTAATTCTGAATAAGCAAAAAACAAAACGAAGGGAAAATCCTCAAGAATTGATAAAACACAGAAGAGAAGAGCTGAAAAATGACAGAAAACATGATTTTTTAGTGAAACAGAAACATAACCAATGTCTCTGTTATGAATAATAAACTGTTTTCTGGTCATTGCAGTGCAGCAACACTGATTTCTGACATATTCTCTGACATCTGGGTTCTGTTGCAGGTGAGTGTCCTGCTCCTTGCCCTCCTGGTTGGACACAGTTTGGATCTCGCTGCTTCATTTTCTACAACAACTACAGGAAATGGTCTGATGCTGAGGTAAAACTCCGATAGGACGGAGGAAAGCAGTTTGATGAATCCATGTAGCAACACGACATCTGACTGCAACCTGATCCTGGTCCTAAACTTCAGGCATGTTGTCAGGAAGAAATAAACCGGAAATGTTTCATGATTTGGTTTCTGCATCTTTTAACAGTTGAGAATTGGAATGGGAGCGATGCAACAGATCTAGACTTATGTGTTTTAGATACTGAATTTAGAAAATAAATTAGGGTAAAACATCATAAACAAGTTAAAATGAAAAACATATAAACTCCACAGTCTGACAACCAAATCCAGGGTGCAGCTCACGGATTGAAACTGTTTTATTTGGGCATTTAAAATGTCGTCTCTGTCCCACAACACAGTCTGAGTGTTTGCTGGCTCGGCCAAATCTGTCACAAATTTGTGGATAAACCAGGTATCCACAAGCTCCAAACAGCAGAAATCCTGTCATCATGAATAACTAAGAACTAAGTGTGATCTGCATAGTAATTTACATTTATTCAAATGAGTTTAATACTATAAAGAAATGATCAAACATAACATCCTGGGGAACTAAAAAAACAAAATCAATGGGAGAGAAAATCTTTCATTTGCTTTTAAGAAAAACTGAGGAATCTGAAAGACAATCTGACGTTACGGTTCCCATCGATAATGAAAAAATGTTTGTGATCAAATAAATACGTCGCTCAGATTCAAAACGACCTGTTCAAAATCTAACGTCAGATGGAAATGTTTACTTTTAATCCTTTACTGACATTTTTCAAACTGAAGAGAATTGAAAACCTTTTGATTTATTCTGAAATATTACATGAAATGTGTTGACTGTTCCCCTCCAGAAATTCTGCATTTCTATTGGAGGAAATCTGGCGTCGATCCACAGCTCTGAGGAACACACCTTCATCAGCGAAATGGTTCAAAGAGCGACCGGCTATTCTCGTGACACCTGGATTGGAGGCTATGATGCCGTATCTGTAAGCCCTGCAGACACTCAGAGTTCAATAATTAGTCTTAAATAAGTTATTCTTTGTTCCTGGAGCATCAGTATTGTGTGTTTTACATATTTGATGATGTTTGTCATCAGGAGAAAACATGGCTGTGGAGCGATGGGTCAGATTTGACCTATCAGCGCTGGTATTCCAACCAGCCAGACAACTCTGGAGGAAATCAGCACTGCATGGAAATAAACTATGCAGGTAAATGAATATTTATTGGAGTTTAACTTTTTTTTTATTTCAATGTGGGAAAAAAAGAAACTTCCTGTTTTATTCATAGCAATACTGGGGTTAATATAAGTTGCTGTTTCTCGTGCCAACAGGAGACTACTGGAACGACATGCCATGCACCTCCAACATGCCTTTTGTTTGTGCCAAGAATCTGTGATGGACCTGCAACAAGCATCATCTCAGGTTTCGTCTCAAATTCAAACTGCACATTTTCATTTGATTCCTGATTTGTCTCCTTTATTTGGTTTGTCCAGTCATTGAGGTTATAATTTGTTTTATGATGATTTACAATCTTGAAATTTGGTTATTTGGATTTTCTTTTGCAACATTTTATGTGGATGAATCATTGAATTAAAACGAACAGGCAACATATTTCTCTCTGTTTCAGTGTGTGTGTATTCACTGTGTCTGTCTCTGTCGCCGTGCCTTTGGACACTTCACCTGCTGGTATCAACGGGCCTTTCAGTATCTGGATATGAATAAATCTGGTTCTACATAATCCTTTATTATGCACAGTCAGTTACCAACTGTTAAATGGCCCCTTTGTTCCCAACAGTGATAGATTTTAGACATTATTTAAGAACTACAGCTCTGAAAGCTTCTTTTGAAGGAATGTGCATTCTTAATTGTTGCCTAAAAAGCCCTCCCATCTCTGCCATGCAATGACCTCTGACCTTTTGAGAGCGAACAAAGTGTAAGAACAAAAACAGATAATCTTTTCACATAATCACATGCAATACAGATGCAGCAAACATCAGGATGTTTGAATGGAGGTGGAGTGTTTTCTTCATGCCTAAAACTGGAATATGGAAGTTTGATATAAAAAAATAATTTTTTTTTTACATACTGGTATTTGTTAAAGCTGTCACCATGTCGTGGCAGTTTATGAGGCAGATAATCTATCAAAAAATATATCTCCTCCCTGAGCTGTCAGTGGTGTCTGAATAAATGCAACAAAAACAACCAATCAGAGTCAGGAGGAGGGCCTTAGTGCTGTCAATCAATCTCCTGTATGTGCCGCTAAATATGCTAATAGTGAAAAAACAACTCAGCATTCCAGGAAAACCATTTATCTGGCATCGTTGGCATCTATGCTAACTAGCATTAGCATTCATGGAATTCAGAAGGAGCGTTTTCTGATCCAAGAAATGAAAATTTTAATAATAATTTTTTTAAATGTACAAAATGTGCATGAGTATGTGAGCATTAAAGACAACAGACTATTTTTAAACTGTGCAAACAGAAGAGAAGTGCAGCAGAAACTTAATTTAACTGAATAAATCTGTGGAAATACCAGCAGAAATGTAAAAACTTGTTTGTGTTCATTGGGAGAGTCTAACAGCTGCTGAGGGAAGGATCTGCTTTGACGCTCCTTTGTGCACTGAGGATGCA